GAGTTGCCATGTTGGAGTTCTCAGTTCCTCCCCCTTGGTCGTATCTAGAAGAAAAGAGTAGAGAAAAGAGCATCACAGTGTGTTTCCAAAAGTGAAAAGAGAAACCAGAGCAGCAGACAAGGAAAGATGCCGTGGTCAAAAATATTGAAATTAGTGAAAATAAGTAAATAATAGCTTGACAGACAACAAGTTGGTGTCTTTATGCCATGACCTCTAGATAACAAGTAACGGGGGAACATGGACGGGTAAAGAGGCTTATATATTTATCAGTGATAAACTCGAGGAGAGATACTTCAAGTGATATGCCTAAAAGCATGCGCTAGATCTGTGTGTTGACAGTACCATTTTTCTAAGTGATGAGCGAGTCCATTCAGTGGTTTCCAGGTTTAAGTATCTTGATTACTAAGGGGCAGGGGGATACAGAATCTGGCCGGTGGAAACAAGTGATTGATAACTTCCTGGGAAGAGCCCTGCCTTTCTTTCCTCCTGCACGGCTCATTATTCCACAGCATTAATTCCAGCTTTGCAATTGCACTGAACCAGGGGCTCCAGTTCCCTTATCATCCCTGTGGGAAACATGATGGTTTATTTGTAGATGGTGATAATTGTTTTTATCGATCCCCAAATATGGGAGCTGCATCCACTGCTATGGCTGAAGGCCAGCTGGTCCATAGTGCTGTGTGCGTGAGTGACAGGTTACAACATCATATGTGTCCCAGAAGAGACTTAAGAATTTGTAAGGCAATTGATGCCTATCCCAGATCCCTGCTCACTGAGTTGTGTGAACAAGTCCTCGTAGGCCAGTACAGTCTTTCTTGTAGTTATCATTATTGAACCTTTAAAGGTCTACACAGGTACAATTTATACTCCTACAGCAAGCATCAGCACAGGGGCCTGGAAGCGGCACCCCTATGTGAATGACCAGAGCTAGCTCCCAAAAGACCAGTGAGTTCCTCCAAGGCAGTTATGCTCAACCTGTGGGTCGCAACCCCCATAGCAGATATCCTGCATATCAGATATTTACATTAATTATAAAGTAACAATGGAATAATTTGTGGGTTACGATATGAGGAGCTGTATTGAAGGTTGAGAGCCACTGTTCCAAGGCCTCAGATTCTCCCAGGCTCTTGTTTTCGAGGTGTCCCTGGGTTGAACATCCTAGAGGAACATTAAGTCAGAGTATTTGAGAAGGCGGCCCCGTGAAAACCCTAGCATGTACTATAGGTAGGAAACGGCATGACATTTCAAGTCTCAAACTACCAGAGATGTTAAGGGAAAATAATGTAACTGTCTAATTAAGCCCAGTTTTTAGGACACGGCACAGGGGCGGTGGGACTCTCCCCCATGTAAATCAAACACAACACATAATGTTGGGGGAAGCTTCGGGGCTAATTAGTGTGGGTTGTCTATCTGGAAACAAATCAGGCCAGGCCTAGAAGGAACGGAATGTCATAAATGTGGGATTTTCTAAGTCTTTATTATTTTGTGAAGTGGAAAGATCTTTGGCCAATTGCCAAAGTTAAAAACTCCTGACCCCCTTTTCCTGAAGTACAGATAACAGCCATTCCAGGACGCCTGTGTCCTGCGTCTCCTCCAAGGCTCATGTTTGAATGCTTACTGTCAAGATTTCAGAAATTACTGGGTTGGGCCAGAAGAGGGCAGGACAGCTTCCATGCATTGCCAAGTTCCAAATACTGCACAGAGGACCCCCATTTATCCTGAGCTAGGCCATCATTTGGGTTCCCCATTTATCCTGAGATACAGTGGAAGGTTCTCATATTAATTGAAGCAGTCTGTCATTCTTTATATTTATTCTCATAGAAATTAATGCTTTTCCACACTGCCCTGGTTCCACGGTAGTCTGTCTTCACAAAACAAAGAGCATCTCTTCTAAAAAAGCGTTGGTCATGGTCTCCAGTCTCACCATGAAGGAAAAAGTTTTTTGTTTTCTTCCTTCTGTCCACGTATACCACAGACATTGCTCTCATGCCCATAGTGCCAGTGAGCCCAGCTGGTCATGTGATTCATGTGCTCGCTGATTGCGCCATCAACACACTTGCAACATGGTGCAGAGCTCACTGGTTGAGGCTGGAGGATGATAACATACTCTCTGGCAACCCAGAATCACTGGATTTTAAGATTGGCGATATGAGATATGAGCAAGTTCAGTCCCCTCACTTAGAAACAAGGACCCTGACTCAAAGAGACCGTGTGAACTGTCTCTAGCGCCCTGTTTCAGTCAGCAGTCACAGTGCATTGTGGGACCAGGTATGTTTTTGTCAGCCTACACCCCACTGTGTTCTGATTTTAACACCCAGGCTTTGGGTGTGTTGTATTGGATGGTGACCAATTGTGTTAATGTGAGTCCCTCCACTTATCAGGTCATAACAGATCAACACAGACAGTAAGATCTTTCCCCTCCACAAAGTAAGAACAATTGCTGTGCTTGGGTCTAACAAATATAAGCATTCAAACAAATGCAGCCCATTGTAACAAGTGCTGTGATTTTAGTAATCTCTGTGTCTGGTTGAGCTTCTCCTGAAGAAGTATAGAAAGGATATAAAATAGGTTTAAAAAATTTGAAAGAATCAAGACAAAAAGTGAACATATAATCCAGTAAGAACAATGGTCATGCAAATTCAGTACACCTACAGAATGTCCATATAAAATATTCTGAAAACATTTAGGTTATAACACTCATGTCTTCTGATCCTAATCTTAAATAAACGGAATGCTTCCTTGATGCTCCTGAGACCCTAGAATACAGAACACCTTCTGGCTAAACTGTGTAATAAGAACTTTGTTCTATAGTTTGTTTGTCCTTTGTCCAACCCCTTCCCACTCATGGAGCACACAGCCCATACTTGTATATCACTGCTAATTTATCCCACAGAACAGTAGACAACTCACTGTGGTTCAGTCTCTGGAACACATGGCTTTCGGTGTCCACAGGTTCTGGATTTCTGGGTTCTGTCAACTGTAGATCCTAATACTCTGTCCACTGTGTAGAGGGAATTATATCAGTACAAATCATTATCAGACTGATTTCTTCTCGTTTTTACATAATACAGTATTCCAACGACATAGTGATGGAGGTGGGTTTTTTATCTTATCTGTTGCTTTCATTGGGTAACTGATAAAGAAAACTGCTTGGCCCTGATAGGACAGAAAATTAGGCGGAGTAGACAGAACAGGCAGTCACCATGATTCTCCCACTCCAGACAGATGCAGGTTAAGATCTTTCCTGGTAAGCCAGCTTGTGGTGTTACACAGAATATTAGAAATGGGTTAGATCAATATGTAAGTGCTAGCCAGTAAGAGGCTAGAGCTAATGGGCCAAGCAGTGTTTAAAAGAATACAGCTTCTGTGTAATTATTTCGGGTAAAGCTAGCCAGGTGGCTGGAAGCGACCCGCCACTCCTATTTCAACAACATGGGGACTATATTAGTTATAATTAACCTAGAGGAGACCAGAGTCTGAGCACCTGAGCATTTGGATAGGTGGGGGATCCAGGTTCCAGTATCCCACAGACACAGAGGGCCAACTCTAGACTCCATGTAGAAAATATGCACCAGGAGATGCAGATGCTGGGATTTTATGTAATTCCTGAAATGTTGCATAGTTCTGGGTTGACAGGAGTCGGGAAGGAGGAGGGGTTCTAATTCAGACCCATGAGTGGCATCATGCTAAGGATTTAGGTCCACAGTCCTGGGTTCTGGGCTTTGACAGACACTGGCCTCTGGCTGGAGGCTGCACCTAGACTGTGGATGGGTGTGTGTTAGTTGGTGGATGAACTGGGTGACATCCCGCCAGTCCTGCATCCAGAGGGATGCACTGCCACACAGCCGCCAGATAACTTGGGGCAATCCACTTACCTCTGCAGGAAGAGATGTCAGGAGGGAGACAATGGAGCTTTTGGAATGAATTAGCTGAGCTTGGCTGAGGACAGGAACAGAGATCCATCCTGAACCATTTGCCTTTGGCAGACCCCTGTAGTGAGCACTGTCTCTGTTCGGGGAGGGCTGTGGATGATTTAATCAAACCAAGCTTGGCTCACTTCCATGTTTGGGGTATACCTGTGCTGTTTGATCTTCCTAAAATATTTTCCCTTCTATGGTTCGCACAGCCTCGTCCTCTCTCCCCACCCTCACCCTTCTTTTCCCAGCCCCTGAGTCACGTTACCCTTATCACAGAAGCATTCCCCGAGAAACTTTATAGAGTAACTGGGATGTAAATCTAATCTTCCAGTCAGTGTAAAGATGGAAACACTGGGCATGACTTCTGTATTTATAGCATCTATAAGAGTAATCGGCACATTAAAGGTGTCCCATAAACTGGGTCCAAGAGGCCAGAGCTAGGTCTTAGGAAGAAGCTTGTCTCCTGATGCCTGCGAGTTTGCTTAGGAAAGAAAACATTTGGATGCTTTCATAGTCCAGGTTGACCCACACTGACTACTTTACATGTAGAAGCCGAGATTGGAGATCAGCACACATCCACATATGCATGCAATCACATGCTCATACACCCACATCCCCATCCGTACTCACACCCACACAAACACAACCTTAAAATACGTAATAGGAGCTAAGGAGATGAGAAAGTGCTGCGCCCAGGTAAACAAGACACCATTGTCATTCAGTGCTCATCAGCGCTTCAAGCAACCTACAACAAACCCATCCTCTGATATACACCCCTAATTTGTTGTCTTATGGAAAGACAAATTATTTTTTACCTGAAGGCAACAGGATTATTCGACTTGGATATTTGCCATATGGCTTCTCTTCCACCCAGCGCAGCTTTGAGGCTTAAGGTAGAAAGAGTTAAGGGTGCCCATAAATTATTCAGAGATAACTCAAAACAAGTGTGTATCCTTGACAGATTGTCAGGTTTCTCAGTGCTCCCCCGATACCGGGTGCTGCCTTTTTGATAAGGCGTGGCTTGTTTCTTACTGCACTTCCTCGTTGCCCTGCATTTCACTTCTCCTGTTTCTGTTCCTCCAGGGTCCAGTCCGGCTCCTATCTCAGCACGGGCTGGTTTACCTTTATCCTGGCCATGGACGCCTGTTACAGTATCCACGTCTACGGGATGATAAATGACACCTATTGCAAGTAAGAGCATGGGAAATTATTTCCGTGCAACTCCAATTCTGATATCTTGTCAAAATATCACAATTCATTCTAATGCCATAAATCTGAGAAATAGATCAGATGACGATTACTCTTTGCCAACATGCCATGTTCTTGTCAGCGCATCATGTTCTGACTTTTAGGAGTGATAGAAAGAAAACAATACCTACGGCAGTCTAATGTTGCACATCAGAAGGGACACTTTCCCCTAAATCAGTCGCATTTCTGGGACTCGGGGCTTGAAAATCTGGAACGAGTTCAGTGGTGATTTAATTTGTGAGATCAAGGTTTCCATGGCTCGTCCCTCTGAAGGCTTGACGGACAGCTGTCAGCCAACGGCTCTGTTTGCTCAGAGGAGAAAATGCCCTAATGCCTCAGAGGAATGTTCAGCTCAACAAGAGTTCCTGAGGATTTGATTTCACTAATGTGTGACTAATCTGCCAGACTCTTAGTTTAAGTGAGTATGTGGTTGCTGGCAGGATCGCGTCTAATCAGATTGCCAAACACATGCGTCCTCGTGGTGGTGGAATATGGTTCCTCTACCGACCATTCACACGATAAGAGGCAGAGAGCACTTAATCATACTGTTAACACGTAACCCTGGGTCAGTGTTCATGATTAGACATCTGCACTCTAACAGCTATGTCTAAAAACCACAGAGGAACCCCAAACTTCACTGGGAGGTTCCAGAGCATTGGGCTTTGTAAGGTTTGTTTCATCTCATCCCTTCCCTTACTCAGAGTGCAGGGCATGTGTCTGAATGCAATTAGTGTGATGTGTAGATTGTATTTGATCTATTAGGGCACTAAGAACTGGTCCTTCTTCCTAAAAGCTTTCGTCTGCAATAGCTTTTAACTGGGTCCGTGGAGGAGGGTTTATAAGTAGATGCATTTACTGAGCACGTCATGGATTCTTGTAAATGCCTGCCTCACCCTTGGCGCCCTTCCCTCTCCTGTCTTCTTTTCCAGGACAGAAGGGTATAGGAAAGTCCCCTACCATTACTATGAGCAAGGGAAAGATGAGTGTAACGAGTATCTTCTCCACGAACACGCCCCCCACGGGGGACACCGCTTCATCACCGAGAAGAGAGTGTTTGCCAAGTGGGCCGAGAAGCACAGAATAATCTTCACACACCCAAACTGGACCGTGTCCTGATGTTGTCTCCCCTGATCGTGGCACTGCGGCTCTGAAGATGACAGCGCGGGCAAGGTTGTTCATGACTGTCAGGGTCCTGACCACTCTCTGATGGGGACGGTGACTCTGCTAGCAATCCGGACTCGGCGTTCTGTGGGAGGGGCTCCCGTTCATTCTGTTCTCTCTGGTGGGTCAGCCCTACGTACTGCACTTTATGACTTACCTGTCAAAGGCCAATGACGTGGCAGCTGTGAGTACAGAAAACAGGAAGATCGTCTTTCAAGCTACCTGCTCAGAATTCCTGACAGAGGCGTTGGAAGAGACGGATGTGACCTTCTCAGGCAAGGTCACTCAGTGTGTGGGCAGCTCCACCATCTTGGAAAAATGGCTGACTGCCAAACACTGTCCCAAGAAATTCTATCAGGGTATAGATATCTTGCCACAGTCAGCCTGAGAGAGGGTAGGCATCTCTCTTTGATGCCGTCTTCCTTCCATATGTCTCCCAGCTAAAGCCTCAGGCCACCTACCTGATTAAATGTAGCAATGAAGGTGTTGCGTAATTCCTGCCCCTCGGGATTACTGGACTATCTCAGACACTTGACTCAAAAGGTATCAAGTAGCAGGTATTGACAAACTTCCACTTTGTCGGCTGTGCTCTTCCTACTCAAAGCAGCGTGACTAAACATATTAGACCGATTACCTACATTAATGTTTAGTTATTTTTGCTCGAGTACTAAATATTAACGTGCTAGCTGTACAGCTGCAGCACTGTAGAAACACATACTGTGAAAACATTTCTGAAACATAACCAAAGGGTTTCCTCGCTCTGCTTCCACACCCAATTCTGCAAAAACGATGTGCTTCGTGACATCGTGAGACAGGGAGAGCAGACCATATTTTTGCATTAATTTGTATCCTACCATATTCATAATATATATTTTTAAATTCAAATTTCTATTTTATAATCCCAAGGCGTGTCTCTTCATATACATTATCAATGCCAAGTGCCAAATGTTAGACATGAAAGGTTCTTTTATATCATTAAATCCAACCGGAGCTCTTGCCTTTATGAGGCTGATCGTCTCCCCCCCCCCCCCCACCACCACCACCACCACCACGTATCAGGTGTTCTGCTATGACAGTAAAACGGTGATAAGCCTAATTCCCAGAGTGCTTTGTCAATTCCAGTCCCGTCACATATTTCTGCCATGTGACACCCGTGACCACCTCGCCGGGCTGTGGCCTGCATATTCTGCCATCTCCAGCAGCTGATCCACATTGTGTCAGCTGGGTCCGTGCGTCCCAGGTTGCTCTACTGTAGAATATCTATATAGAATAGCATTTCTGTAAATGATTGAGTTCTCTACCAAATATAGCATAGCATACCAAGATTAAGAGAAAGGACCACAAGGATGGTTGTGTCCTAGATCAGTAGCCCTATAAGCTTAGATAGTTTTGATTTCTTTTTGTCAGTGGCTTTGTTCAGGTGGTGAGTAAATGGGGGCTCAGGAACATCAGAAGCAGAAAGTGGTTTCCCATCCCAGGCCTGACACAGCTTCACTCTCCGTACACTTGGTGCTCCTTAAGTATCAGAGGTATCTCAGACTCTTCTAAGCATCCATGAATATCTTGGCACAATGATTCACAAGCCAAAAGCCTGGCTGAACTTCATGTATTCGAAGCTGGAAATAAGAATCCACCTCATCTGCTGCACTGTGGCAGATCTTTCCTAGGAATAAGGGTCGTACTCAGTCACTAAGCTCCTGTCCTCCTCTGCCCATTTGATACCCCACACCCACACCTGTAAGTGTTCCCCGGCCCCACCTTTACTGCTGGAGAGAGACTGGTTCTTCTTTTGTTGTTGGCTTATGTGAGTTTTTGCAGTTTTGTGAATGTTAGTTTTTTAGAGTGGATTGAAATGCCCACTTACAGGAAAATAAATAATACCCCTGGTAAAATTCTAATGGAAGCTGTTGATTTTCTCTCTGTCACGATACAAAAGTTCTACCTTCACATAAAACAAACCCTCGGTTAATCAGAATGCTTCCAGGGATGGCGTAGCTGATTCATGTCGCCATCTATTAGTGGAGGCCAACTCTATTTTGGGTGCTCACTGATGAGAAACTTGAGAACTCGCTCTCCTCCTTCCTGTAGCTTTTTCTCAAGGGGACTTTGGCCACATCCTCCCTCACATTGTGTGTAGAAAAGGCAGGCTCTATCTAATGACAGCCAGCTATGGGATGGTGAAGTGGGACATGATCCCCCCTCCCCTTCTATTCTCATTCTCTCTTCTCCTCCCCCACTTCTCCTCCTCCCTCTTCTCTCTTCTTGTTTTGTCTCTTGAGGAAACAAAAAGCATTTTATGGTGACACAGTTGAGTTCCTTTGCAATCAGTAAGGGCTTTGACTCACTCAGGATTTGCTTTTCTCTGTAGTAATAATTTTCTCTGCTTCCATTTCCTGTTCCTTTCTTCCAGCCTTCGTTCTGGTAGAAATGCAAACTCTCATTTCTCCCATGTGAAGAAGAAGTTTTGCTTCTTGGACTTGCTAAGAGAGGCAAAGGGTCATTCAGGGAGACTCTGTCACACACAGTTCCAGTCATCCCCACAGGTTCCTGTCCACTGAGAGACTATCCCCATCCTCGCAAGGGGAAGCTAAATGAGCTCACTTAGCACTGGTGCACAGCTATCCTATGTATCAGTTGATAATAGTGAAAAGAAAGATGTTTTGGCATCATCTAAGGTGCTAGGCAAATGGACGACAGAAAATGACCGTAGACTTCTGCAATCAGCACACATGTCTGCCATTCAAAACCACAGGCCAGGCCTGGAGAGCTGAGCTGACACATCGAAGCACTGGCTGCTCTTTAGAAGCCAGTTTGGTTCCCAGCAGTTCCCTGCACGCACTTAGGCAGTCACAACTACCTCCAACTCCAGTTTCAGGTGATCCAGTTACCTCTTCCGGCCTCTGTGGGTACCCACGTACATGAGATACATGCACACATACATGCATATGCATAAACAAACAAGCTTATTGGTAGCATGAGTTCTAGTGACATTACGGTATCTGTAGATCATTATCTCGTTCAGCCATCACCAGGGAAGCCTCTGGATGGTAATTAACAGAGTCCCACAATTGGACAGTGCAGAGAGTGAGACTTTGGAGCATTCAGTCCTAAGACATATTATCTCTAATTCTTTGGATATCTTGAAGAACCAAGGGGAAAGTTAAAGGGTTTTAACATCCCCTTGAAGTTAGCCTATCTATAAGTCATATTGATGTACATTTTTATGATAAAAATGATTTTGTATTCGTGACAAAACTATCCAAGAGAAAGCAATGGGGAATTTGAGGGTATGTTTGTATATATGATCATGGAGTCCATCTGTGCATGTAATATGTGAACATGTATATGCATACATAAATACTTATAATTATATGTGAAAGCATACATGAGATTCTATATTCTTTGCCTATGTGTGACTCACAGAAGACTCTATTTCTGACTTGAGTTGAAATTCTTTGGTTTACATTTTGAATCCTGGTAAGATTAAAAAAAACCCTCACATCCAAAGTAAATGTACTGATTGCTAGGAATATATAATGCCATTCCCGATGGCTGGCCAGAGGAACAAACCCATCTAGAACAAACACAATCAGGTGTACAGCTGTCACCAAGTAGACCCATAAGTACAGCAATTTGTATCAGCAGACTCTCCCATCCAAAGCTCGCCCAAGTCACACTGAGAACCCTGCAGTAGACTCCATTCAGGCTAACATGAACCGTGGTCCTCCTGTTCACACAGGCAGGAGGCAGCGCTGGGTTTGCATGATTTCTGGTCTGCAGTCATTGCGCTGTGACTGGTGAGGAAGGGGTGTCATTGTGCAGGGAGACTGTCCCCTGAGGTTTTGGTGTGGACCAGCTGATTGGAGAGCAAGAGTGTGCTGACCTCCAGTGGGGCATGCAACCCCCGGAAAGACTCACTCATGGCCTTCTTGAGAAAAAGACAACACTACTTCACCTGGTAGGGTTAATTGGATGTTAACTGTGAGGTCAGTTTGATTTTGAGAAACAAGACAGTGTAAATGGACGGTTGACATTCTTTTCTCACATGCACTGAATATGCCACATCAAAGGGGAGACCCAACCCCATCTTCTGGGGCAGTTGATGTACCCTAGGGCGTGTGAATTACAATCCAAGAGAAGCGGGGTCTTAACTGCATTCCTAACTGGTGAGAGTTCCTCCTTTGATTCTCCTTGTGAAGAGATCCCATGACTACGGGAGCCAGTGATGAGCTTTCTGAGCACACTGGTGGCCGAGATGAAAGGAGGCGCCTGGAAAAGCTGCCAGTCCCACCCCGTTAGCCTGCAGTCAAGGAACCAGATTTACGGAAGTAAAGGCAGCTCAACCTTGACTGTAAAGCAGTCTGCTGGCAGTCCTGACACCCCGAATCTCATCACCTGTCTCTTTCCCCAAAACGCTTTCCACTGGGCTCTTTAAAACAGAGAATCATTACTGGCAGAAATGCATATGTGTTTTAGCAAAAGAATCTACCCAAGGAAACAAAGGCTCCACCAGAACAGATTCTACCAGGGAACAGGGGTATCCCCGCCCTGAGCTGCACAGTTGTTTTGAACAACTGGGGGCAGGACCCTCAGTGCTGGCCCATGTGCTGTCCCATACACCCCTGTTGCTAAGACCAAAGCATTCTATTGTCATGAGATGCCAAGACTCATATAGAGAACACAGAAGTACATTTCTTCCTGTTTTGTCACTGAGGAGGACCAAGCCTTGGTATCAGAGGAGCTGCCCGGTGATGGAGACTGCTTGCTAACCTGGAGCATTGCTCATGGCTTAGACTCGGGGCGGAATCGTCCTCATCCTCACACCAGTTCAACTGTGTGGGTTGGTATGTGGTTGAGGCCACGTATCCGCCTGCAATGTATATAAACGCCCAATGTGCCACAGGATCCAATCAATATGCACAATTTGAGAGTCCACTTATATATGGTACTGTTACATGGGGAGAATTTTGAAATTATGCATCAGACTCTATTTAAATGGTTCCCGTGGCTCGGAAGTAGTGTTCTGTTTTGTTGTTGCTTTTGCTGACCATAGAGACACTACCAGAATAAAATTGCATGTAAATTGCAAAGGCATTGAGACAGAGCTGTCCTTGGGCATTGTAACAGCACAGAAAACCTCATTCCGTTGTTTTTAAAACCTTTACTTTTTTTTCTTTGCTTTTCAGAATAGGCACAAAATTGTTTTTGAGGTGGGAAAGTGCCTCTTTCTCTACAAAGAGGCCTCTTCGTGCTTTAGAGATGGCAGAAAAGCAGAAGCCTGTCTCCGTGAAGGTGAAGACCGTTCCATGAATAAATAGCCAAGTGCCACATCCTTGTATTTGCTGACATATTGAGCAGTTTCTTGTAAGGAACTTCAAAGGGATCGAAACCTGAGCATTGATAGACCCTTGCTACCCGGCCTGCTGCAGAGTGCTCATTCCTTGTGTTTCGCATCACCGTCACTGGTGCTGAGTAAATAGCAGTTCTATTACATGGGGTACACTGACGCTTCACTCATGAGTCCACGAGGGTCACACGGTCCTTGCTGGAGATGCTCATGCCCCTTTGAGACCTGTAATCACTTATCTACAGAGGGGACCAGATGCACAGTGCTGTGCTGGTAAGGGACTTGTTTCCTGAAGTTATAATGCTTTTTTATAGACATCTTAGGATGAAGTTTACAGTTTGGCTAAGAACAATTAGCAGGTTTTAGGGTTTTTTTTTTATGACAGGAGAAATGGGTATGGGTTAACAAAGCTAATAGAAACAGTGGCTGAGGTTTTCAATATGCTCTTTGTCTAACGCAGAAGGACATCCAGGGTGCAGTAGCACACATCACAAGAGAAGGCTTTGCCAGGCTGTGGAATTTCTGGGGTTTGGGGGCTCACAGAGGAGTACAGTCTATCCTGGCAGCCAAGGTCCAGAGGTAGCAAGAGTGATTTGGCCCATGATGCTGACTGGGAAATAGAGAAGAGGCACTTAGGCACAGCTGACTTTCTTCTCCTCAGCCCGTGGAATGATGCTACCATGTTCAGGGTGGATCTTCCTCCTAAGGACAGCTCTCTGGAAACATTTGCCATCATGCAGAGGTATGACTCTTAATGCCTTTTGTGTTCCTGCAGTCAGTGCACAACTGGCAGTCGGAATGTGTGACCACACCACGGAATGCGTGACCACGCCACGGAATGTGTGACCACGCCACGGAATGCGTGACCACACCACGGAATGTGTGACCACACCACGGAATGCGTGACCACACCACGGAATGTGTGACCACACCACGGAATGCGTGACCACGCCACGGAATGCGTGACCACGCCACGGAATGCTGAGCTACAGCTTTCTTGCTCTGCCAGGTGTATTAACAGTGAATCCAGTGCACTAACTGCTTACACTGGAGAGTGCCTTCTGCCCTCTGCACCCCTACCTTTTATTCCTCCGATCTCTCATTATCCCCCATTTTCATTCTTCAAACTTTACATATGTGCCACTGAATATCATGTTTAGTTTCTCCTTTTACAAGTCGGCTGACTGTACTTGATCAATTTCGTGAGTGACCGACCATGTGTAGGGTAAGTAAGGGTCTACTTTGAGAATCAATAACAATAACTTATGCTCACAGCTGTGTTAAAGGCTGTGCATTTGAGCTCCTCCCCTACTATTTTGTGAGGCATATAATGTTATCATCCCTTTACATAAAAAGTTAAAGGACAGAGAAACATGGTAGTTTGCCCAAGCTTGGGCAAGCAGCGATGAAATCAAGTCCAAAGAAAAGCAATTCTTCACAAATTACATATCCAACCAGGGCAGTCTAAAAGAAGTAACAGGAACTCCAACATGTCAGTGGTCTAACAGAATAGGTTGGTGTCTGTCTAAATTATGAAATCTGCACACATGA